AGTGGGAAGTATAAGAAGAGCATGACGGGCCAAGTCAATGAATCTGGTCTCGTACTGAGTGACACTCATAAAACCCTGCTGGAGACGCTCAAACTACCTCTGATATTTCTCCCTCTAAGTGATAGGAAGAAACTTTTCCAGAAATAGCTGGGAGAACTGATACCAAGCCAAAGATGGTGACCCAACTGGTCTAGCCAAACAATAATCTCTCCACCAAGTCTTGGCGGATCCAAACAGTCGAAAAGCAGCAAAGTCGACCCCATTGGTCTCCACTATCCCCATGTTCCGAAGAACCTCATGACAGCTGTCCAAATAATCCTGGGTATCCTCAAAAGATGTACCACCAAAAGTAGTAGTGAACAGCTTGGTGAACCTGTCCAACCTCCAAGGCATCGGCAGACATAGCTGTTCCCTCACTGGTCTGAGCTACCACACCCGGCTGAACTTCTCCAACTGGCTGAGTAGCTGGAGTCTGAAACTGAAGAGCCATCTGCTCTGGAGTGCAGGTAGCGGGAGTCTGTGCTCCTCCCCCAGCCTGAGAGACAGCTGGTGCTACAGGAAGTAAGCCTGCCCGAGTGACACTCTCCATAAGGCCCACTAGACGGACCAGAGCATCCTGGAGAACTGAGGTACCAATGAACCCCTCTAGGACCTGAGCTGGTCCTGCTGGAACTAACTTGGCTGGAACCTCCTCGTCAAACTCAACCTGAGGCTCCGCCACTGGTGCTCCTGCTCTAGGCTGAGCTCTGCCCCTGCCTCGACCCCTAACACGGCCTCGGCCTCGCCCTTCGCCCCATGTAGATGCTACTGTTGGGGGCTCGGGCTGCTGATCAGCAGATGAAGAAGCGCGTGTTCTCGCCATCTACGAAAGAACAGAGTAGAAGTTCAATTAGCAGTGAGAAACCAAATGGCACGACAGGAAAGAATAGATGTGAAGTTTTTCCTAACTCTATAGCCTCTGGGGGATAAATACAGACGTCTCCGTACTGATCCCTCAGACTCTACTAAGCTTGTCCATGAATTGTGAGACCTAAGAAACCTAGAGCTCTGATACCAACTTGTAACGATTCGGATTTTCCACCCTCGGGAGTCGTGATGGCGCCTACTAGTGAAAGCTAGGCAAGACAGTTATTCCAGTTATTTAACCATTTTCATTTTAAATCCCTTAACAATTCTAAAACAACATAATAAAAGCAGCAGTAATAATAATAACAAAAATAGTGCGGAAGACGAAATTTGATAACTTAGATTAATACAAACTGCGGAAGTCTAAGTACAGCTCTACCCAGAATTGGTGTCACAATCTCATAGACTGTCAAAGAATACTACAAATAAGGTCTGAATAAAATACACGAATCTGTCTCTAAATAAGTAAAAATAGAAAGAAAATGATAGAAGGAGACGCTAAGGCCTGCGGACGCCAGCAGGACTACCTCGGGTCGCCTGACGGTCTGGAAGCAGCAACCTCACTGTGGTCCAAAAGCTGTAGCACCGGGATCTACACACAGTGCAGACTGTAGTATCAGCACAACCGACCACATGTGCTGGTAAGTGCCTAGCCTGAACTCGGCAAAGTAGTGACGAGGCTAGGACCAGACAACCAAATTAACCTATGCAGTTAAATCATATACATCGGAAAAATAAAGGCAGAAATGTACAGGTAAAGACAGGAGGGGGAAAACATGCTGCGGGGAAAGCAAGTAACAGCAGAAAACCAATAAATAACCGTAAAGAACACCATAACTCAATTACCAGCAAGAATCAGGAAATCAAAGACAAGTGCACAGCATCATACTTCGTGCTTTTACTCTCGTCCTCACCATAAGAATCAATATAATCGGCACGACATCACCCTTCGTGCTTTTACCTCACATAATCATGGCACGGAATTATCCTTCGTGCATTATCACTCATATCATGGAACGGCATTGTACATCGTGTGGCACGACATCACCCTTCATGCTTTAACCTCACAATATCGGCATGGCATCACCCTTCGTGCATTAACACTCTCTCACAAATATCATGCACGGCATCACCCTTCGTGATTTTACACTCTGCCTTACCCAAACAACAATCACAAAGCAATAAGGGCAAGGGAATCAATAAAATCACAACAAAATCCCGGCAAGGGAACAATAGTATAACAACAATATCTCGGCAAGGGAAACAATATCAAAGGCAATAACATCCCGGCAAGGGAGAAAATATCAAAAGCAATAACATCCCGGCAAGGGAGACAATTTCATAAACCTCTTCTCTTTTTCACAATTACTTCACAATCAATTCACAACTGGAGCAAACGCTCTACAATGTTCAATTACCAATAATGCTTCCACAAATCAATTCGTAACTTGAGCTAACGCTCTTCAATGTTCAATTACCAATAATACTTCCACAAACCTTGTTCAACAATAGATATCATCACATAAAGTATGAACAATACGAAACGGAGTCACATTTATCAAAGTATAAGACTCACGGGCATGCTTGACACCGGCGTATAGATACTCGTCACCATGCCCATACGTCGTACTCAACAATTAACACATAGTAAATAAGACACAACTCCTAATCCCTCAAGCTAAGGTTAGACCAAACACTTACCTCGATGTCACGAACACAATTCAAGCCTCAACTATCGTTTTACCTCTTGTTTCCACTTCTAATTCGCTTGAATCTAGTTATAATATACTTAACGATATCAATAAATACTAGATGAATCAATTCTAATGCATGAAAATAGATTTTCTAAAGTTTTTCCCAAAAATTCAAAATCGACCTCAGGCCCACATGGTCAAAACTCGAGGTTCGAACCAAAATCCAATTACCCATTCACTCACGAACTCAAATATGTAATGTATTTTGAAATCGGACCTCAAATTGAGGTCCAAATCCCCAAAATTTGAAAATCCTAAGTCCTACCAAAAAAACCAATTTCCCCCATGAAAACCCTTTATTTTGGATTGAAATCATGTGAAAGGATGTTATAGATTAAAGAAAATGAGTTAGAAATGACTTACAATTGGTTTGGAGATGAACTTTTCTTTAGAAAATCGCCCAAAAGTGTTTAGGTTTTGAGAAGGTTTGAAAAATGGATAAAAATGCGTCTAAGTCCTAATCAACCGGTCTCTGATGTCGCAATTGCGACCAGCGTTCGCAATTGCGTACCCCTTCAGGATCTGTTATCTTCGGAAATGCAAAGAATATGTCGCATTTGCGACCCTGGGAAAATCCACTAGGCTTCGCATTTGCAATAAAAAGGTTGCAATTGCTACTCTGGCCCTTCCGCATTTGCGATAAAATGGTCGCATTTGCGATCCAGGCCTGCCCAGGCCATCTTCGCAAATGCGATAAAACTTTCGCAAATGCGAGCTCTAGACCTGCAACACACCAGCAATTTCCTGAGTCTAAATTTCACTCCGTGGCCTATCCAAAACTCACCCGAGCCCTCGGGGCTCCAAACCAAACATGCACGCGAGTCCAAAAAACATCATACGAACTTGCTCGTGCGATAAAATCATCAAAATAACATCAATAACTATGAATTTAGCATCATAATCAAAGAAAAATCTCATGAACTCTTAAGTTCCATTTTTAACAACCTATGGTCCGATTCACGTCATATCAAGTCTATTTCTTACCAAATTTTACAGGCTCAACTTAAATGCCATATAAGACCTGCACCGGATTCCGGAACCAAAATACAGGCCCGATACCATCAAATTCAAACACATTCAAATTTCTAAAAATTCTTATAATTTCAGTTAAACAATTTCTTTCTAAAATCCATTTCTCGGACTTGGGACCTCGGAATTCAATTTTGGGCATACGCCCAAGTCCTATATTTTCCTACGGATCCTCCGGGACTGTCAAATCACGGGTTCGGGTTCGTTAACCCAAAATATTGACCGAAGTCAACTTAAATTCATTTTAAAAGCAAAATTTATCATTTTTCACATATTTTCACATAATGGATTTCCGGATACACGCCCGGACTGCGCATGCAAATCGATGTGAGATAAAAAGGAGGTTTTAAGGCCTCGGAACACATAATTTATTTTCAAAATAAGTGATGACCTTTTGGGTCATCATAGGAAATGACATGAATTATGATGAAATCGAGTTAGTGTTGTTGAAAAAGTTTGGGAAAATACTCTCAAAAGGAGCTATGATTTGGCATCACAACTTAGCTCCTAACTCTATTGATTCATTTGCTATGTAAGCGGACGCCTTCGTTAAAGCTCACGCTGGGGCTATAAAGGTGGCCACAAGAAAGTCGGATATCTTCAAAATAAAACAAAGGATGTCACACCTCCTTTTTCTACCCGAAGAGATATAGGGGAGTTTTTAAATTAAAGTGACAAAAATCGAAATGGGATTATTTATTCAAATTTAGAGTCGCCACTTGGGATAATTTATGGTGTTCCAAGTCACCGGTTTAAAATCCCAAATCGAGGAAGTTTGACTCTGTTCAGAGGTCTGCAAAACCAAAAAGACCGAGTAAGGAATTCTGTTAACCCGGGAGAAGGTGTTAGGCATTCCTGGGTTCCGTGGTTTTAGCACGGTCGCTTTAATCATACTTGGCTTAATTAACTTGTCTAATTACTCATTTAAGAACCTATGTACATTTTTACCTCTTACCGCTTTTAATTACTCGATTATTCGTAACTAAGGAATTATCTTAAAAAAACGAGTCACGCGTACGTGTACTCATTTTGTTTGGCACGTAAAAAATCATGTCACGCGTACGTGTCCACAATTAATCACGCTTTGTTAATATTAAGAAAATTTGGCCGAAGTTGCGCGAACGCATACCTCAATTTATTTTTTTAAAATCATAATTATGTCACGCGACGTGTAAACAATCACAGTAATACCCTAAAAGTATACTAGGTGTTCACGATTAAGCTTACGCTACTTTAAGGTTAACTGTGAAGGTCTTTATGGAAAATAATGTGGAAAGTCATATGATTTATGTGACTTATTCACTGTCAATATCATCACAATTAAACTCACCTTATGCTACAATGCACACCACAATTTATCATCACACACCACAATTTATCATCACAAATACGAATGCTTTCCCTGAGAGTAACAGATTATCATTTACAGGATAACCTTGAACTACACACACTTCTACCAGAAACCTAGTAAAAAAAAATTCAATAAGGCAACAAAAAGAAAAAGAAAACACTGAGAAAGAGAGGTGTGTTGAAGAATATCCAACTGCAACAAATGAAACATGAATGTAAATGTGAATGTGAATGTGTGAGGCAGCTTGTATAGAATGAATTGACTAAGGCCCGTATTCACTCTCTAGGGTTGGTTGTGTTCGTGGCACAGTAGCAGCATGGTACAAATTTGAGACCACACGGCTTGCAAGAAATGGTTTTGCAGGCAAGTAGAAGGTGTGTAAACTTTGTCTGCTCTTAATTATGTCATTTTGCAGGGACAAATACCTGCTAGAATATTATTGTGCAGAAACATCAATTGCTAAAATCAATAATTGACCAAAAAAGCTCACACACGACACTATTTAACTATAGTGTATGAATCTATCTTCAGTTTTAACACTTATCCAAAATCACTCAAACAAGATATGAGATAGTTTCATCCTATAGAATGATACACTGAATGATCCATACAAGTTATTGACAAAGATTTGAAAGAATTGGACCTTTTGTAGCTTTCAATTTATCAAAGAGCCTCCTGCCCGTTTACAAAGAAAATTGGGGCCGACGAAGCTAAACACGAACAGACCCGTTAACAAAGACCACGTCGGAACCTCGATTCTGCCTGGAAACCTCAAACTACGACCTCAAACGACATCAACATCTCAATTTCGATACAACTAGGCAGAAATAGATTTCAGCAGTTTCGATGACTATCGCCAGTTTTTTGTTCATTCGACGTCGATGGTGCGACTCCGGTGAAACAGTGACAGTAGAGGGGAAATAAATGACAGGAATAACGGTTAGGCGCAGGAGTGACAGTCATGGCCGTCGCTGGTCATCACCTCCGACAGCGGCAGTCATGGAAAGGGTGAGAGCTGGCCGATTTCCGGCAGCGGCAGCTAAAAAGCTTGAAAACCTGGTGCGTGGCTGATTTCCGGCGCTCTTTGTGTATGTGTTTGTTTATATAGGTGTATGTTGCGGCTGGCTTTTGTGGTGTGTTCTGCTAGGTTTTTTCTAGGTTTTCTCTGTCTCCTTGGTTGTGAGATGTGAAGAAAAAGAAGAGAGGTCTAGGTTGGGGTTCTGCGGCTGCTAGGTTTTTTGTTTATGGGGGAAGCTCTCTTAAGGTGTTTAGGGTGTCTCTCTCTGTTTTCTGATGGGGTGCAGCTGGAAATGGGGTGTTTTAGGGTTTTTGGGATCTAGGTTATAAGAAGAAGAAGAAAGGGTTTTTAGTGGGTTTAAAGGTGCTGGGCTTTAAATTAAGAAATTTGGTTGGGGTCATGTCTTGTTGGGTCTTAATTTTGGGCTAAGAAGACTAAGAATATAAAAATATAAAATATACTCTTAATTAATTAAAATACACTACTAAAATAAAACTAGATATTAAAAGTAAAACTATTTTTGTATTTTCAAATGTTATAACAAAGTAAAAGTAGGAAAAAAACAAGCTAAAATCACGGTAAAATTAAAATACTATAATATACTAATTGGCTTTGAAGTAAAGATGAATAATATTTTTGTAATTTTTATTTTTGTGATAAAAATAAAGTAAGAGTCAAAACTAGTTAAAATAGCGATATTAGACCTAAACTAAATATTTAAATGCTAAAATGTGTAAAATCTTGGGAAGGGTCAAAAATTACATGTCCACAGCTGCCCTCTTTGACTGGAAACACGAAGTATTTTCAGACGAAGAACGACGAGACAGGTTTTTTGACCCGACCCTTATTTAGAGAGACCAAAACTAAAAGATAAGAGAATGTGACCGAGTCCTGGTATCTGAGCTGCCTACATATCCTTGGCTATAAAGGAATCAGGCCACGTGTAGTTCAGAAGTAGGAACAGTGATGAAGTGTACCGAGGGGAGAGCAGATTGAGATGCCGTTCCGTCGAGGTTCCGATGCGCGATCCTGTTATTACATCAAAATCAAAAAAAAAATCTAACTAAGTCTGTCAGCTATAAGATACAAGATTCCTATCTATAAGTCTTCTGAAGCTTGATCTTGAGTCTTGAATGGTTCTTCATGCGGACTTTAGATTTGAACCTTGATGTTTGCTATCTGTAGGTGCTAGTTCATTCTTCTTCGGCTTTTCGGATCAAGACCGGACACGTAACGCTCGTGACTGTGAGCACGTGATTTTTTCCCTAAGTGAATTGTTCCCAAATATTCAAACAAAATGATTTCTTTCATTATTTTACAAGTTGTGAATTTTGTGTTATTTTCTGTTAACTGTTTGCATTTTTATTTGTGCATTTTAATTCATATAAAAATATAAAAATACGCTTGACATTTGCATTTAGGATCAAATTTCATATTTTAGGATTATTTAGTGGTTAAGTTATTTTTAGAACAAAATTTAAAGAAAATAACAAAAAATAGTCCATCTTTGCATTTTTAATTGTTAATTGTTGAATTTGTCATGGGTTTGCTTTTAAATAGGATTTAATAGATTTTTAGGAATTAATTAGTTTAATTTTGGAAATAAATTAGGTCTTTAATTTTGCATTTTAATAAAGTTAGAAAAACATAAAAATACAAAATGAAAACAAAAAAAAAGAAATAAAAAGGGAAAAGAAAAGAAAACAATTTAAAAGAAAATTGAGTGGTCTTCATGGATTACCCATTTTTGGGCCAAATCCGTTTGAAATCTAGCCCAATCCCTTAAACCCATTTCAAATTGACCCCAACCCAAAGGTTCTCGATCCGGTCCAGCCACTTAGAGCTCAAACGACGTCGTCTCCACGACAATCAATCCTGACCGTCTAGGTTGTTTGATCTAACGGTCAGGAATTGATAATTTAAATATAACACTGTCTAAACGCCCCCCCTACCCCTTCTCCGTCTCTCTCATACTCGAACCCTAACCCCACTGTCTCCCACCGCGAACCGCCGCCGAAATCGCCTCACGGCGGCGGCCGGTCACCAAACGACTCCAAAATTGCACCATAGCTTCTTCTTCATCTCACCAGTCCGAATCTAGCCTTAGTTTCTTTCAAATCCCACCCCAACTCTCCAAATAACCCAAACCCTAGCGCCGCCTCCGCCGTGTACGGCGGCGCCACCACCCAAACCCGTCCAAATTTACACCTAGTGCTTCCCGTTGTCTACCCATGCCAAATCCAACCTTATTTTCCTTCAAATCCCCACCAAATTGTTCGAATATCAAATCAAAGCCTCAGCCCAAAACCCTAAAATCCCCAAATCCCGCTAAATTCACACCATGTGTTCTCCTTACTTCCCTCGTTCCTAATCCTTCATCAATGGCCTTCAAAGTTCACCCAAGACGCTCAAATTTCAAATCTGAGAAGCAGTGGGACTTTAGAAGTTATCCCAGTAAGTTTTCTTATTTTTGTGTTTTGGAATTGATTTCTTCCCATGATTAAGTGATTTGGGTTTTTGGTTTTATCCGTTGGGGGTGGGGGTTAGTATTATTTCTTTGCTCTGTGTTGTTGTTTTTATCTTGTTTTAAATAATTAACAATGTGAATTAATTCTGTCATTAGTTTAGGTATAGTTTGTTGATAATTGATGTCCTAGTTTTAGATATTCGATTGAAAGTCAATAAGTTTTCTCTCATTTAGGTTTTCTTCATAATTGATTCTGTTCTAATCTTTAGTGTTGGTTGATTTTGTTCCGTTATTTGGCTGTTTGATTCTGAATTTGGTTCTGATTCATTACTGATAACTTGACTATTAGATCGTTTAAATTGCTGATTGGTTTTGTGAATAATTTTAGTTTGGATTAACAGTCCAGTTGGATTCCATTGTTATATATTTTGATTAGTTGGCTCAAGTAAGCAATTCAGTTTTAGGATTTGTTTGGGTTTAGCTGAATTTTCCATTTTTTCTTTGGATAATAAACCACAGTTGTAGACTAAGGTTAAGGGGTTGGGTCAGTTAAATCCAGCGTGGGTAAATTTCAGATTGAATTAAGGGTAGTTTAGGTGTTTTACCCAAAGAATCTGTTAGTTCGAAACCCCTAGAGTCTTCTAGATGGGGTTCAAGGTGAGATTTCAGAAAGTTAGTAGTAATACTTGAGCAACAAGCCAAGATTTTAGGGATTAAGTAAGTAAAAATTTGAAAATTAAAAGACGGACTAAGGTGTAAAGTTGCAAATCTGAAAGAGCCTTAGGCTTTGCCTATAAAAAGGCATGCCTAGTGCCTTAATTCACAAGTTTGGAGCCTCTAAAAATTCCCTCTCATTGTCCACAAGTTTCAGATCTGAAATTTGAAATCCAAACTCCAAATCTTCAAAAAATCCAAAAAAAAGAAACAGAAATGCAGTAAAAATCAAAAATACTGTTACATTGCATTTTATAGGTTAATTCCGAGTTTTAGGCAATGATCTTCATCTCTTCTAATCGCTGAAGCTTGCCTGAAGTATATTGGTTCTATTACGAGTGATTTTGAGTCCAATTAAGCTGGTTTGAGTTGAATTTTTGTTTGCTGAATGTTTCAGAGGTGTTCTGTGTTCATTTTCAAGTTTATTTGGGTTATTTGCTGAGTGTGTGAATTTCTGGGTTCAATCTCATGCTGGTTTGGGTTTATTCAAGTTTATTTGGTTGATTGTTGATGTTGTCCTTCTCTAAATTCAATTTTGGACTGGTTTGATATCGTTTGCTGAGCTGTGAACTCAATTTTAAACTGCTGTTTGACATCTGCTGCTGCTGATCTCTCCTTTTCCTTCTTATTTACAACTTCCAGGTGCATACCTCTCTAGAATCCCTTTGTATTGCTGAAAGGCTGATTTGAAGAAGGAAATAAGAGGATTAGAAGATCCGTTGCATTTACGTGTCTGCTTGTGCATTAGAATTGCAGCTTCATTCAATAGTTCTCTGTATTTGTAAGATGGTTTCTATCATTTTTCCTTTTGAATACATTGTAATTAAAAACTGGACACTTAGTGTTTGCACATAGATTATTCTATACAGCATGTAAGTTTGTAATTGCAGCAGGACTTCACGTGAATTCGAATAGGTCTAATAGTCCTTTGGTCTTAAATACGAAGTCATCTGTCCAATAGTCATCCATTTGTGATTTGAATAAGGTCGTTATGCTTGGTTATGAATTGACACTTGAATCAACGTAATTGGACTGGAAACCGTAATTTACTCTAGTCTAGTAGTCCAGTAGTTTCATTCAGAATTAGTAATTATATCTTGTGTACAATCTAGCTTCATTTTGGATATTAGTAGATTTTTGTGTGTAGCTCATTGTGGAATCAGTAATTCAAACGCACGAATATCATATTGATCATCTAATGTCCCTCATTTGTTAGCGTATTGTTTCAAATTCGTATGGTCCAGTCATAAGCCAAAACGCTGAGGGCATTTCCTACTGGTCCGGTCTTTTACTATTGCTGAGGCCCAAATGTTAAGTAATTCACATTAACAGGGATGACACGATTCTCTTTTTGTGGGCTGGCCTCGAATCCCATTGTGCTAATGGCTGTTCCTGGGTTGATTCCGATAATGTTCATCTAGTGACGGTAATTAACTAAGGTTCTTTAGAGACAAACCCAATGGAAAATTATAGTTTGCTCTAGGATGGCCTTTAAATAATAAGATGAGATGAGCCTCACCAAATAAAAATGCATAAATTGCGGGGCCCTAGTTAAATACTTATATTAAAATACTTAGAATTCGGGGCGTGCCATTTAGCGAATTTCACGGCTCTCCACAAAGATAATAATGCGTTAGTCTCCTTAGGCGCGTATTTTAATAACATTACATTCCTAAACTCGGGTGCGCATTTATGTGACCCAAATCCAAATCTCAATGAAGTCGAAATGTGTCAACAACCACGGTGCATTTATGTGACGTGGTTCGAAATACGTTTTCACGACGTTGTAATTCTCATTAACAATAATTATAAAGCGGTTCAAGGTTTAAAAGCACATAACTTAAAACATGTTTTGAAATAAGATTTTTGCCAAATATAGAAGTTGAGCAACCGTGCTAGAACCACGGAACTCGGGAGTGCCTAACCCCTTCTCCCGGGTTAACAGAATTCCTTACCCGGATTTCTGGTTCGCGACTGTAATACAGAGTCAAACCCTTTCCTTGATTCGGGATTCAAACTGGTGACTTGGGACACCATAATCTCCCAAGTGGCGACTCTGAATCTCTTAATAAACGAATCTCGTTTCGATTGTCCTTTAAGTGGAAAAACTCCTTTACACCTTCCTTTCGGGGGTGTAGTGAAAAGGGAGGTGTGACATTCAACCATGTCTTGAGGAGTTCAC